CAGGAATGGGAAGGGAGTTGGTGCATTTAGGTGTTGGGAAGTTGCCTTTTCTAGGCACTTTGCAAACATCTTAGTTACCATAATTAGCCCATGGCATTAGTTGTCAGCTGTGAGAAGTAGTCTGCTTCCCTAGCTCAGAGGAAGTTTTGTTCTTAGTCATTGGTACCTTATTGAGGAATGACATGAAAGTAGCAAACCTGTTCCTTAATTTTATTACCTTTCCAATAGGTGGAATATGCCAAATGAGCTTTATTGGTATTTGGCCTGGAATAAGACTCTATGGAATCTGCTGTCTTGGCCAACCCACTGTTCAAAGTTTAGTTTATGGAAATGGAAAAAACCAGGAGAGAAGAAAGAAAATGTGAATCTTTGAGCCTGTGTGAAGGGGAAAGGAAGCAGTGATGCATGGTCCTGAGTGCCTGTTTGCCCAACTGTTTACAGAGAACACAGCCTTGATGTCTTGTGGTTTCTTCCCTTGTACAAGGACAGTGTGCAAAAAAGGGGCTTGTTTTATCATACAGTTCCACATGCCTACTAAAGGTGTAATAGGTCTTGAGGATCAAAGATAAACAGATTCATCATGTAGAAGGAGGACTGAGGGGGGCTAAGGAATGCTGAGGACTGAAAAAGCAGTAGTAGGGAGCAGGTATTAATATATAGGAAATAAGAGAGGGAGAGTACTCTAGAGGTGCAGTAAGCAAGTCTGTGATGGCTCTTTAAGAAATGATGAGTTTGTGAGGTGGTAGGTGACATGTTTGCTCTGCTTTCTATTCACAAGAACTTCTAAATTAAGAAATAAGTGGTATATTATCTCTTTTCTAACCTTCCCTTAATCTGATCGTGGGGGTGCATGGAGTCAGTCAATTAGTCCCTGTATTTGCTCTGTTTCTTTCTCTGTGCCTTGGCCTTCAAACATCTGCAGGGGCTGATGTTGCTGGGTTTAAGCCAAGAGCTAGTTTGGAACCTTTTTGATTATTATACTTTCAGTTGTAAATTGCCAGTCAGGTGAAACCAAAACTCTTCATGGAAATATTCTTCAGAAAAAGCTTTGTTGGAAAGGTTTTTCTAGTATGGATAGGATGAGGAGGGGTTGGAGGCAAGGAAGTCATCATTTCCCCTTGATGTACTTCATTACAAATGAACCTGCCTCAGATGTTGCAAATCCTGTTTGTGTATCCAGCAGCATAAGGATTAAGATGAAGTGGGTCATGGTTCCAGGTGAGTGTGCCTCCTACTAGGCAAAGTGAACACTTGTAATGATTTTGAAAAAAAAACTTAATGCAAATTTTGTAGGGCTCGGGATGCTCTGGAAAACAAATGTTAAGGCTTTTCTGCAGTTTTGTCAGTGTTTTGCTTTTGGGGGTTTTTTTTGTGGCAGTTCAAGCCAAACATGGAAATAGTGTTGCTTGAAGGAAGCACAGGGCATAGATAAATCAGCAGATCTATGCCTCTTGGGCACTAGATAGTCTAAATAAATAAGATTTATGTGGAAAGATTCAGCTGGGGTATTCATAAGGACAAACCTGAATTTGAGTGCTTTCCAGATTGGGATCAAATGTGTCCAAGATGGATAGTTCTGTCTGCCTTCCCCCCCTCAGCAGGTTCTTGGTGTTTGTGGTAACCTACTCTGTGCATGCTGCCAGCCAGTGCAGCTTCGGTGAGGAAAACAGTCATCCAGTCTACCAGCAACCTTTCTGCTTTTCCATCCTTATGATGACACACAGAGTTGCTGGGAACCAGTTGCTTAAATCTGACATGTTTCTATCAAGGCAAAAAAGCCATTCCTGGATCACAGAATGGAGTAGCCACCAAGAGCCAGTGTTGGAAGGCTGGCAGAAGCCTGCAAATGGCTTCTTAAATCGGGGCAGAATAGGCAGAGAGGGCTTGTAGCATGCCAGAAACAGTCTTTGCCATCATTTGGTCTAGGATTGTCTGTTTGAGGAGCTGTGGAAGAAAAACAGACTGATTTACCACCTGTTAAAAGCTGGCCTTCATCAGTGTAGCCTGTGCAGCCTGAGTCAAGGGGGGGAACTAACTGTGATCAAAGAACAAATTTAGGTCTATGCATTAGTCACAAGGACAGATCCTTGGGAGGAGATAGACATGCACTGTAGAGCTTTGCTGGAAAGTTACTGGACCCGAGATTAATTGGAGGACAGTGATCTTAAAGAGGAGGACTGTAGGTCTGAGCAAGGCTTGTACTAGTTGTGCTGGCTGCAAAATGCTGGAGCAGTTTTACTGCTATATTCTTCCAAATTCAGAAGACAAAGTCAGCATTTTGTGCATGCCCAAAGAGCAGCTCAGGGATTAAGCAGTGAAATGTCCCTCTGCCAGCTGATGGGAAGTTTCCTTCTGCCAGCTTAGATCCCGTGATTGCTTTGCCATCCAAGAGCTTGTCAGATGGTAGGTGTTGAGTGTGCTTCACAGGACTTCTGGGGTGGAACCTAGCCACCATCTGTGCCAACAGCACAGCCCAGAAACAGGATCAAAATGTCTTAATTAAAAAGGAGGGGTGGGGGGGATGATGTGTGTGTAATTCAACAGCATGTCACCTTCTCCTGGAGCTGAGCAATTACCACAGAAAGAAGGAGAAACAATCATAAAATAGTTTGGGTTGGAGGGCACCTTTAAAGGTCGTCTACTCCAACCTCTCTGCAGTAAGCAGGGATGTTTTCAACGAGATTTCAACTAGGTTGCTCAGAGCCTGGTCCAACCTGACTTTGAATGTTTCCAGGGATGGGGCTTCTACCAGCTCTCTGTGCAACCCATCCCAGTGTCTCACCACCCTCATCGTAAATAATTTCTTCTTTGTATCTAGTCTAAATGTATCCTCTTTCAGTTTAAAGCCATTATCCCTTGTCCTATCACAACAGGCCCTGCTAAAAAGTCTGTCCTCAACTTTCTTATAAGCCCCCTGTAAGTACTGAAAGGAGCCATAAGGTCTCCTTGGAGCCTGCTTTTCTCTGGGCTGAACAACCCCAGCTCTCTCAGCCTGTCTTCATAGGACTAGTGTTCCATCCTTCTGATTATTTTTGCAGCCCTCCTCTAGGCCCACTCCAAGAGAACCAAGTCTTTGCTGAGGATGTCAGAGCTGGACACAGTGCCTCCAGCTGGGCTGTCACAAGAGCGGAGCAGAGGAGCAGAATCAGCTCCCTTGACCTGTTAGTCATGCTTCTTTTGATGCAGCAGGATACAGTTGGATTTCTGGGCTGCCATTGCACTTGTCAGCTCATGTCCAGCTTTTCATCAACCAGTATCCCCAAGTTCTTCCCCACAGGACTGCTCTCTATCCCTTTTTTCCCTCAGCCTGTATTGATACTGGGCATTGCCCAAACCCAGATACAGGACCTTGCACTTGGCCTTGTGGAACCTCATGAGTTTCACATGGGGCCACTTCTGTAGCTTGTCCGGGTCTCTCTGGATGGCATTCCATCCCTCAGGCATGTTAACTGCACTACACAGCTTGGTGTCATCTGCAGTCTTGCTAAGGGTGCACTTAATCCCACTCTCTGTGTTACTGATGAAGATATTAAACAGTCCTGGTCCCAGGATGTTCCCCAGTGTGGCCCCTGAGGAACACAGTCATCACTGATCTCCATCTGGATATGGAGCCATTGATCACTGATCTCTGCATGTGACCACCCAGCCAACTCTTTATCCATCAAATCCACATCTCCAATTTAGAGAGAAGGATTTGTGGTGGACTGTGTCAAAGGTTTTACAGAACTTCAGATACCTCTTTCCATCATAAAAGGCCAGCATGTTGGTCAGGCAGGTTGCCCTTGGTGAAGCCTTACTGGCTGTGTCAAACAATATCCCTGTCATCCACGTGCCTTAGCATAGCTTCTAGGAGGATTCTTGTTCCATGATCTTTCCAGGCTGACAGATGGGTAGCTCCCAGGGTCGTCCTTCCTACCCTTTTCAAAAATGGGTGCAATGTTGCCCTTTTTCACCAGGGATTTCACCTGACTGCCATGACTTTTCAAATATCTTGAGGAGTGGTTTGGCAGCTACATCATCCAATTCTCTTGAGAGAATGCATCTTAGCAGGTCCCACAGAGTTGTATATATTCAGGTTCTTCAGTTGATCACAAACCTGATCTTCTCTTAGAGTGGCAGGGATTTTGCTCCCCCAATCCTTGTCTTGTGGTCCATCCACTTGAGAGGTTGCCAGCAGACAGACAGTCTAAGCAGCAGGTTTAATTCAGTGATGTTTTGGACCCTTCTTACTGGCATCTGCCGAAGTGACTGATGAGCTGTGTGCTTGGGAGGCTCCTGGGAGCAAGGATGCTCTGTCTCACTGCCTCTGGACTGATAGTGGTAGAAAGCTGACAACAGTCTGAGAGGCAGTGAGAGAACTGTAACCAGGGAATGACTGAGTTAACTCTGTCACTCAGAGAAAATTTAGAGTTCATCTAATTACAGTTAGATTAGAAGGTAAACAAGCTTCAGTGGTTCAGTGCTTGTTCCTGGGTGCCTTCTTCAGACATCCCCCTTTGGACCTCAGCAGAGATGCTGTGCTCTGTTGCCTTTAATCTTGAAGACAGTTACTGATGGTTAGTGTGAATCAAGACATCAGTACTGTGTTGAGAACACAAAATAGGACTTGTGGTAGCATGTCCACCTGTTCTTCCCCCTCCCATGAAAGGTGGGAGCTTTGGTTGGGAAGTCTGAGGAATCATTTCTACCTGTAAAAAGCTGCCAGGGTTAGCTTGGGGCTTTTTCTTTGGAAAGACACTTGGCATAATCTAGTGTGGCTAGACTCCTTACCCCAAATGGCATACTTGTGAGGCAGCCCCACATCTGTCCTGCTGCCCAGCCCCCTGTACACCAGGGCCTCCCCGTGCTCTCTGGGCTGCTGGGCCATCTGGCCTTTGCACTGAGCTGAGTGTGCTCGAGCTGCGAGTGTGCAAGGCAAGCTGTGCTATCAGGTCAGATGCACACAAAAATCAAAGGCAAGCCTCAGCTGGGCCACAGTGCAGGGTGGCAACAGGCACACTGCTGCTGGCTGGGAG